ATATATATTATGAAATATAAACAATCAACGTCCCCCCCCCTCAGCGGGCCACGGTAAAATTATTAAACGTTGACCGGTCCGCGGCGATAAAAAGGTTGGGGAGCACTGCTATATAGTATACACTGAGTGGCCAGATTATTATGACCACCCCATCAGTACTTCGTTGGGCCGCCTCGTGACTCCACGAGATGTTGAAAGGTGATGGGAGGAATCTGACACGGCACTGTTGCCCTTCTGTTGTCTTGTACCAGTCTTGCCACTCTCCGTTCTGCCCTAACATTGACTAGTCGCTGACGGCCACAATTTGCACGTTCAGACCCAGATTTTCGGCTGACAGTCCAGTCTTTAAACACTTTAACAATGAGCCCCTCTTGAACATTTAACACATTCTGCTGTTTTTCTGATACTCGCTCCATGGCTCGCGCCAACAATCATCCCACGTTCAAAGGCTGTTAAATCACGTTGTTTCCCCATATCTTCAGAAAAAAATCACTTCTATTGTCGTGGTAAACAACCTGCTTCCCTATTTATAATGGTCTGGCCCTCTAGCAACTACAGCGCGAAATTACATCTAATTTGCCTACAAACGTCAGGTGGTCATAATAAACTGGCCACTCAGTGTATATTAGTGAACAGATGTGCCCCAAATATCTCCAGAAATTAAAAGACTGCCCCTCGAAGAGCGTATCTCCCGTTGTGCGAACCACACATTAGTCTACAATCATCTGTAAGGTTTTTTTCTGCAATAAGTTAATACTTTATGAATGGTATTTGGACTCTCCCACCTAATAGACCACAATGTGTAAGCCCCAACGTTAACCACTATGCCAAATGTGTTTTGTTATTACATTCCATGACGTGTCCCCCAGTGCTTTGTGGCTCAAGGCTTTAAAACATTTTAGCAGCTTGGGCAAGAATTTGATATTGCTAGGACAATATTATGTAATTATGTACAAATCAAACCCACTACCAGGACTTAATTTGGATCTATGAATCCTGGATGAACAAACACAGAATTAATTATAATTATAATTATTATTGTTATAATACAGGATTTATATAGCGCCAAGAGTTTGCGCAACGCTTTATAATAAATGGAAGATATTACAATTACAATACAATTCAAGACAAGATGGTAAGGAGGGCCCTGCCACTGAGGGCTTACAATCTAAAAGGGAGGGGGAAGTGATACATGAGGAGGTAGCTGTGTGGGGATGAATTGTTCTGCAGATATTTGCTGATTCCTCTGCTATATATATATATTTTTTTTAATGTTCTGAAGGAGAACTTCAGGTCCACCTCTGCTGATTGACTGCAGCAGTGTGTGGGTGCAATAGCTAGCCTGCTATTGCAAATTGAAATACCCAATAGCAGCCTAGCTGTTCATTCCCCTGCTACCAGTTGGGGGGTTTTTTTCACTCTGATGGCGGCCGCTTTCAAAATAAAATAAAAAGATGGCCAGGCAATCAGCAGATAGCTGGGGAGCTAATGCTTCCCTTGTTATAAGCTGTTCTTTTTTCTTTGTAGTGGCCGCTGTCAAAATACTCAAACTGGGCAGGCAGCTCAATGGCTGCCGGCTTTTGACCCGCTCCTTCCATCAGCTGATTGAGGGATGCCAGACAGAGACTGGAACACAATGTGCACATTTTGGTCAGTTCCTCAAGAACCAACTAAAATTTGCACAGTGTTTATTATCTGTAATACCGTCCACTTTGACCGATACTGATAATTTAAAGAATCTGTGAATATCGGTCCCAATTATCGATAGATCCGATAATCGGTCGACCCCTTGTAGCGAATGGTTAAAG